GTGTCGGCGGCGTAGCGTGCTCGACTTTTCCGCGGTGTGATGGTGTGGTTGTGGTATGCGGCCAGTGGCTGGCCTCGTGTTTTGCTTTGGTGCTGTGTCAACCACACGTGCCACCATCGTGCACGAAGGTGAGCGAAAGAAGAGAACACAGATTTACGGACTCTGTTGGCTTGGTGGCGACGTGGCGGTGGTGAGGTACAACAAGAAGCGGTTAGCGAGGGAATGCGGGACCACCGCTGGGAGATACAACCGGAGCGGTCGGTTTGGGAGGGATCCCATACTTGGGCGCCATCTATCCCCGTGCGGGTGAAGCGCTCGGTGCGCCGAACGTAATCTGGTCGCCGCGTCGGACAGATTCATCACCTAAATGTTAATTCCACCGTGGTTGACAGTCAGCGTCTGTCCTCTGTGCTCCTTCTACTTTTGCCCGCCCTTTTGCGCTGTTTTTAATAGTGTCGTTCAACAACTAGCAACCCAACAATCCACCCTTTTACGATAAAATTGGTGCAGCATGATTATCGAAGCAATGTCCCACATGGCAAAGGCAACGCACTAAGAGTATAGCAATTTCTCGTATTTATGAAATACTTTTCTATGTGTACTTAAAGCATACTATTAGATTACGAATAATATATAATACGTATACACTGATTGCACTTTGAAAGACTAGGTACAAGGGCACCGCTAGAATACGAAGTACACCAAGTGTATATTACTGAAGGTATGCCAACGACGCACTTCAAGTGTACTTTTGTGTTTCATAAAACACTAAATTGACATACATTTACTTCTAGTTTTCGTATGGCTTTTATTGAGGACGGATTTTTCGTTAAGTTATTGGTGGAAGTGATACCTTTAGGGGCGAGGGCTTGTGGGTTAAAGCTGGATGTTGGTGAGGCATGGGGGGCAATTGGCATATTGTCAGGCGTAGTCTTACGAATACTACAGTTTCTAGTGTCTGTAATGGGGCTATGGAGTACAGTTCCATAGGCTCATAGTTGCTTTCTCATGGAGTATAAAACCACAGGGCGAATCCAGGGTACCTGATTGAACTTTTTTCAACCACGTCACAAATGCGCGCCTCACCGAACACATGATCAGCACACGTTTTTTCACCTCTACGCGGTAGAGAAGGGAGGAGGAAAGCGGGAGAGGGGGGTGGCTCGACGGTTGGGTAAAGAACCGCCATTGTTTCACGCGTACATGGATGCCGACACGAGATGGAGATGAGACCTCGGGATATTTGCTCCCTGGCTTATGGCCCTATCGAAATCAGCGCCATTATCTTCGCGTTGTCCTTCGACACGCGATCTATTGTTTCGGGCCCGATGCTTTTAGCTCTCCACCACGCAGTGTTGGGTGGTTCTCGCCGCCAAAACCTGGTTGTTTCCCGCTAAATGTCATGAGCCATCGTGTCACCGCCGTCCTCGGTGGATCGTAAGTAACCATGACACGTCACCATCAGCAGTGCTCAATTCACTGTCACGAGGCTTCTTATCATAGAAATAAGCGCGAAAGTGACAACCGACACGGTGGTCTCGTGCTTGCTAAACATCGGGACGTTCAAATAGGCCAATCAGGGCTATGAATTTGCTCTGTGGTCTTACTCCGCGTACTTCTGCAGCATTCTCAGCCCGCCAACTAGCCCAACTACATGCCTTGCCGCCATGGAAGTAAAACCAAGATATCGGGGTCGTTGATCAAAGGTAACAGACAAACAATTCCACTGGCCGCGTAACACTTCCTTTGTTTTCCCTGCTGAAAAGCTTTCACTCTCCCTCTATCTTTGATCCTAGTCTTTACGAAAAGCGTGAGGGTTAACGAAGCAGAAGATGTTTTCACTTGCCGCAGAAAGCCGACTTGGGAATCAAAACATGGCTCAGTTCGAAGCTGGAAGCATACGCGATGACACCCTGCATGGAACGGCACAGTCCTAGCTCCCTTTCTGATGTCGCCCCGCTCGCGAGAAATTGATACGGATGATGATGGTGATGTTAATAATTTCATTTCATTTCATTTCATTTTCATTTCATTTATTTAGATACCTTCATAACACTATAAGGTGACGGGTCGGTCGAAGCCAGTAGAGGCTTGAAGGACAGAACCCAGCAAATGAAATGTCACAGATAGCATAGAAGAAGTCCGTAGAGCACACATTTAAAACATGTATCGCACTATGTGAGAAACAGAAAATAATCACTCACAATATCCCAGCAAACATATTAGATACAACCTATAACACAACAATACATTATTGAAATTGTACAATGAATTAAATCGTAAAACTGTTCAATAGATTTTTCAATTTTCTCCTATTTGTAGCTTCAAAGAAGTGGTCGGGGAGTCGGTTAAAAATGTATGGCACATAATAAGAGCGCTCTCGCTTACCATATCTTGTGAAACACCGGGGGATTATGAAGCGATCACAGGTACGCAAATCTCTGCGGGGCACAAAGGGATGTTTAAATTCGCTACACCAGAAATGAGAAAGAACAACACATTGCAAAAAAAGTGAATGGAAGTTAGGTAGTTGTAGAGCCTCAAAAATGTCAGCTTCTGGTGCAAGATCATAATGATAACCAACACTTCTTAACAACTTCCTAAGGATGCGGTCAATTTTAGTTTGCCATATCTCTGCACAGTTACCAAATAATGTGATGCCATACCTTAGGATACTATAAGCAAGAGCAGTAGCAATTGATTTTCTAACGGCAAATGGCATAAACACCCTATTATTGTAAAGTAAGCAGCACACACTGCGAAGCTTGCCAGAAACATGGGTTAAATGCGTTGACCACGACAAATCTGAATCAAAGAATATGCCTAAGTACTTAACAGTGTCAACATATTTCAGGGAGCTACATGTACAATCAAGGCAGCTGGATCTGTGTAACATAAATGATGAGTCCAATTCTACACTCTTCAGCGGATTCCTGAAGCAAACAAGTCTGGTTTTGGATGTGTTAATAGTAATATAATTGTCATAAAACCAGTCCATTAGACGTGCAGAATCATGTTGCAATAACTGCACAGCTTGGCGGTAATTAATGTGACTAGAGACAAGTAAAGTATCATCCGCATACTGAAATATTTTGCAACTAGTGAGCCTTGTTGAGATATCATTAACAAAAAGATTAAATAACAATGGAGACAAAACCGATCCCTGGGGCACACCGGCTTTTAGCATCAGCCGAGCACTTTTGAAATTTCCTATGGATACGATTTGGGAGCGGTCATCGGGTCATGCGTAGCTCCCATTTTGTGTGACATTTTTCTTTCAAAGTGTGACAGGGGCATATTCCAGGGTTTGACGTCCTATCCAGTCGCACGCATATTCAGATACGTTGACGACTATCTTGTGCTCATGACAAAAATCCCTGACGCAGACGACATCACCATCATCAAGAACATATTCCTAGGTCAGGCCCAAGGATTGAATTTCACCCACGAGACTCTGACTAACAGCAACCTCCAGTTTCTGGATACGCGACTCACCTTTCAAAATGACCACGTCTGTTGGATGTATACACCTAGATCCAAGAAACGAATACTCCAATATGAATCTGCACACTCAAAACTAGTCAAAAGGAGCATTGTGTCTAGTTGTTTGAGCGCTGCCCTGAAAAAGTCTGGCATTCATTCAGCAAAGGAGAGCTTTGACGCGCAAGTATCAAGGCTCAAGGCGTCAGGCTACCCCACCTCCATCCTGTCTGACGTTGTTGAATGCATGATAAAACCAAACAGAACAAGCAAGAGAAGTGGAGAAAGAAGAAGTCGACCTGCGGTCGTCCCTTATATACACCGCATCTCTCACAACTTCAAGAAAATTGCCTCTAAATACGAAGTGCCAGTTGTGTTTTCAGCCCCCGACAAGCTTAAAAAGCTCTGCCCCAAAACCAACACCCCACGCACAAAGCCTGACAAATGCAGTGTTAGGCACGGCAACAAATACGTCAACTGTTGCAGCGGGCTAGTGTATTTGATCCCGTTCACCTGTGGGAAGGTATATGTGGGACAGTCGGGAAGATGCATCAACGTAAGGCTCAGAGAACATGCGCTATCTTTAAAATCCTCTCCGTCGGGGCATCTTGCTCTACATGTGAGGGACTGTAGATGCGCCCTTCTACTGCCCAGCACAAGGATCCTCAAGAGGTGTCCAGATAAGCGAACTCAAGAAATCCTTGAGGCTGAAGTGATTGCGACCAAAGGAGACGACTGCATCAGTGCTCCTTCGGTGACTTTGACATCAAAAGAATTAGAGTACATGAAATATTTTCCTTAGATATTCTTAATTTGCTTTACCTTCCTCTTTCTTTTTTTCTTAATATATTCACTGTCATTTCTTCACTGTTACTTTAATCATGCCCACCATTTCTTATTGTTTTTACTAATTTTCTTTTTTTCTTTTTTCGTTTTCTTTTTCAATTTTCAGTCTTTTCAGATCCTTTCACTCCTTTCTCATAAATATTTCTAACATTTAACGTTAGGGTTCTTCATCTTCCTCATCTTCCGAATTAAAACGTCAGTTGCGAGTAAGCGCTTGTCCTGTGTTGTCTCCCTCTTGTCCTTGTCTTTTGCGCTTTTTTAATTTTCATAACTTTTCTGTCCCAGTCTTAGGTTTACAATCATGTTCAACTTACACTAGCTCGCCTGCACTAACTATTTTTTCGGTGCTACTCTTCTCAATCAGGTGTAGTCTGAATGCCTTGGAGTTCAAAGAGTAATGCATTTGAAGCAGATGTAAGATTGGTTTGATAGATGTTTGGGAGCACGTGAGACATATTTTGTACTCAAGACTCGCAACGCTTGCGTTGCTTTCCTCTCGCCACAAGTTGCCCTCGGTGTTCAGGAAGACAGGGAGAAGGGAAGATTCCTTTCGCCTGCTTTTCTTTTCGAACATGACCATTTGCCAGTATTCGTTGTTTGTGTCTGGGTCGAGTGGCACCGGCGGGGCGTCATCTCGTGTCGACTTGGCTGTGGAGTATGCCTCCATAGAGCTTTCAAGCACCGTCGTCTGGACGAACGGCGCATTTCCTGTAGGTTTGCAAAACGATTGTTCGGTTGTAGATAGAGGTGAATGTCAAATCGATCTCCAATGGCGGATTTGAATGCTTGTATTTGTAGATCTTGAGGTAGACCTGCCAGAGCGTTACGCACGAGCAGCGTGGTTCTGCTTAATTGTTCCGTGGAGGGAAAGAACCGTCTCCAGACTCGATGATGCCCACCTTAAAGCTCGGCGGGCCACTGAAGTTTAGAGTGGTGATTTCGGGCTGCTTACTGGGCAGAGCCGGGGTAGCCGCGGTAGCGTCCATGGGGGTGAGGTCAGCCTGGGTGGTATCCATGTCTTCCGTTGAGGGCACGGAATCCGAAATGTTGTTCGGATCTAGCATTTCGAACGAAGTTGAGCGGTGAGCAGGGAGGGCACGAGTTCTCAGCGAACCATCATCTTCTTCTCCTCACTTTAGTTCGCCTGCCTCCCGTAAAGCCCCTCTATCCTAGGAAAAGTGGCGCCATTCATTGTTGTGGAAATGCCCGAGACACGCGCCGCGCGCCACTTCTGGGAAGAACATGGCCTCTGTATAATTGGGTTGTGTGTGTGTTTATACAGCCTAGAACTTGGTCTGCCTCACAGGGGCAACGAGTCTCCCAGCTGTAGATGAGCAATTCAGCCAGTGCGGTACAGCCGCTAGCCTGGGGTCTTTAACGTGCACCACGCAGTAGTGATACACGACCGCACGCCGGTACGATGCTCATCCAGATCGAAACGGGCAGGGGTGGGGCTCGAACCCAGGATCCCTGGGTTCTGCAGCGCGAGCTTTCGCTCCACGTGCTCCGAGCTGGTGTGCGCTAGACCACTCGGCCACCGATCCCCCCCATGGCCTCTGTAATCTAGCTCTGTACTGCGCTGTGCCGCCATGATCTTCCCAAGGGTTGCACGTTGCACATGCCTCGTGCATCGGCGCACCTTGCGCTACTTTTAGAACATGAAGGGGCTTTAGCCTCCTGTAGTTTTAAACGTCATCTGGGGTCAGCGCGTCAAACCACTAGTATCCTTTAATAAAGATGTAATATTTTATGTTGAAAAGTGGAGCAAGACAACATAATAAGAAAAGGTGGTTACCGTCCGGTGACCGAAGCAGACGCCCGGAGGCGTAGAGAAGCAGTCCAGCCAAGTCAAGGGTCAGCGAGCATCTGCTCTCCTTTTTTTCGGCCAGTCCTAAGCGCGCGCCGTTCGCTCGTGTTTATTACATCATAGGCTGTATCTGTCGCCGTGAGACCGGTAAAAGCCATCTCTTTTAATTCAAAGAATACAACAAAAGCTTTTCAGAGAGGGCGCTAACTCTGTCCAGCTGCCTCGACAGAGTCAGCGAAGGTACCAGGACAAAATCTTACATATCACCTGATAGAGATGTTATCGTTTCCCGGAGCAGTACCACTTCAAGACATCCGCCCCCAGCAGACAGCAGGCTCTACACCGGACGATAATAGCAGTGTGACGATCGTCAGAGTGTCACTGATACGCCCGCTGTCTGACATCTAGAGCAATACCGCCCGGGATTCAGACGAGATTCCAGTAACCGTTCTGAAATCCCCGGGGAAAGGTTTTAGAGATCAACTTGCAGAAATATTCTATGGTATTGTCTCTGGAATGGAAGACATTCCTCGTGACTGGAAGTCCGGAAAAGTCGTTCTGGTTCCGAAATTAGGCAGCGACTCTCAGTACCTCAGGAACTATAGATTTCCAACCGTGAGTAGCACAATATGTAGGAATTTCGCCCACATCATGAAATAGCGTATGACCACAAGGGTGGAGGATGAGGGGCTACTTACGGAACTTCAAGGAGGATTTCGACGGGGACGTCGATTGGAAGATACACTCTTTATTCTCACACAATTAATATATCGACGTGGCCAGAAAAGAAAAGAGGAGCCTCATATATCGCTTTCCAGGCAATGCAAAGGCGCATGACAGCGTCCCTCATGCCCGGGTCATTTTCAAACTAAAACAGCTAAACCTGTGCTCAGATTAGACCACACTCATGTACCGTGTATACCATGGGAAGATGATTAGGGCACAGCTATAGGTGAGGCTAACTCTGAAGATGTGTTGGTGACGAAAAGGATTAGGCCAGGGATGCCCGCTATCTCCTCTGTTGTACATGCCGTTCGTAGCCGTCCTTAAGAAGCAACTCATCAGTCGGGACTTGGGTTCTCGCAGACTCACCTAGAGCGGGGAGGCGGCGTAAAATCGCTGGTTCCGGGACTGACCTAAACCGATGTTGGAGGCGGGGGGGGGGGGGGGGGGGGAGGGGGTGTATTACTTGCGAATGGAGGCCGTCCCTAACTTAGCTAATCTTATAACATTGTCAGAAATAAAGCCCCTTGATGAAGGCGTTTTTTACAGGTACCGCCAACCTCTGTTAAACGCGCAAGACACGTGCCACGACTACTTGACCACCGTTTTTGTTTTTTAGTGAGAGTATGTTTATAGAGCATGAACCATGGCCTCCTCTATAGTCACAAAGCCTGGCAGTTCTCCGACGGAGCCATAGAGTGCCCGGTCGCAGATATGAAGCGCGAGGATCTTTTAGCGGAGAGAATTTCTCGGAAAAGCTGGAATTCAACGCACAGCTTTTTTCAGTGGTGAGGATACGAAACGTGGTTTCCAAAAACGAGGAGAAAAGAAGCGGTAGCGCGAGCAACGCGAGGAGCACGAGCGAACATTCCAACGCTCGGGATAAGTCGTCTCGCCACAGCGGGCGCCCGTTACCTGACTCTCCTCGCATCCTTTGTTTGCCGCTCTATATTTTCACTTTCGGCGGCCGTGTCTCGTGGTGATCTGCCAGGCTTTGTCAGTATACAGGAGGCTATTCCTGAACTTGGTCTTCCTCTACTGGTGACTTCTTTCTCAGGTGTGGATGAGCAAGTTAGCCAGTGCAGTAGTACCGCTAGACTGGGGTCTTTAACGTGCACCACGGAGTAATGATACACGACCGCAGGCCGGTACAATTTTCATCCAGATAAAACGAACAAAGGTGGGGATTGAACTCAGGATCCTTGGGTTCTGCACCGCGAGCTTTCAGTACACCTGCTTCGCCGTCATTCGCGTCCAGGGGCCACTCATTTCAGTGCTGCTCCACCATTTGCTTCCAAGGGCAAGAAAAATGCAATCACATCGACGGGCTTTAGGCAGAAAGGTTAAACTCTTTACGCAAGTGCGCCTGCCAGTCCGCCACCCAAAGTACTAAAATAAAAAGAAATAAAAAATTTAAGAAGGAAATAATATACATGCACACGTGACACTATATACCAGAGACTCCTATATTCGCAGCGAGATGTCTGGGTGTCGCCGCCTAGCGGAATTTTTTTACAATCCAGAGTGACGAGACTTTGATTTCTTCTCCTGGTGCAAGCATGTGCAATTCCGAGCTTCCAGGCACTATGCAAATTAAAACAGAAGCGCCTAAGTAGCAGATGCACAACCCATAGTGAGAAAAACAGAAGAGCCTTTAGCGAGCTCCTTACAGCGAATAAGTTTCAAGCATATATAAGTCTCTCTGTATATACACACTTGCATACACGCACAGGCGCGGGTTTATTGCCTGGGAAAAAAGATACTAAGAGAAAATCTGCTGTCCTAACTCTACAATCCGTTTCACCTTATGTTGCTCCGCAGCGAAGGCTAGGAGCGCGAGCTGATAGCGTTGGCAGCTGCCCTTAATGCACGAGAGCTTGTGCCGCCGAGATCTGCCCCAGAGCAAGGAGCTCGCGCTTGTAGCCTTTCATGCGGTGCATCGTAAGGTGAAATAAAGTATAGACGAAACCAAAACGGAAGTATAGCGTCCTTTGCGCGGAGCACCGGAGATTTTGTTGGCTAATTCATTGCACTTATTGGCGGTATTGCGTTATGGTATTTGACGTCCGGCCGTTCTAGACGACAATTAAAAACTGCATTTGAAGCGGAGTTACCCTTTAACGAACGTGGTTTTAATAATGCCTATTTCCAGACTAAAATATTGGCACTGTTGTTGCGGAAATTGGGTATGAGGGTTCGTATTGAATTCCTATTGGGTGAATTAATGAGAAGTAGTGTACTTGGTGTCTATCTGGGCGTTTGGCCCGCATGGGCAAGCTTTTTGTAAATGTAATATTTAGAACTTGTTCTTGTTTTTATTATGCACTATCGCATGATGCTTATTCGTATTTTTTTAGACTCCTGTCACTCCTTTCCAGTGGCGACGGTCTATATGTCCCGCGAAAAAAAATTCACAATTACATTGGTCAGCACCATGAACATAGTTTTCTTCTCACTTAACTATTATATATTAGCATATGCTGATACAAGAAGCTTCTACATTATACGCCATCATACCCTACGATGGGCTAAAGGCAGAAGCCACGGACCGCCAGATCCAGTCATAATCCACATAGAAATTGCGCGGTATTTCGCTTCGATGCACGTATCGGTGCCCGTATCTCGGATCACTGATGGGACTGGGCGGACAATGCATCGGATCGAATATCTCTGAGTGACTCAACAATTTTACATTGCAAAGAAAGCCACGACGTACAGGCTCTTTGCGATGTCGAAGCTATAAAAATGACGCAGCGCTTTTGTATTCGGAGCATTATTCGTCCAAACCTAATCAATACTAAGCGTGTCATATTTTAGCGTGTAAGATGACTGGACCTCATGGCCAGTTTTCTGACGCACGCTGTTTTAGTTCCCGATTCTCAGGACACGTGGCAAGATAGAGTGCCTTCATACACAAGCTCGCTTTTGCTTGAGTGGTGACCATCTCAGTCATTCTTCCGCCCCATCGTTTTTTTATGAATTTTGAAGCGCGCGCAATCTGGTATCACTCAGCTCGAGCGCGTAGCTTTGGTTAATGTATAGACGCCATTTTACCGCCCAAGTCACGCACCGAGAACGCGAGAGCGTCACGCGCTGGCACATTCAGGGCCAACAATGGATGTCTTCACCCTCAGACAGAGAGATGTGTAGGCACCCTAGAGCAAAATAAACGGAGAATTCGGAGCGCGCGACCGCTATCTGAACATCCTCTCCTGTGGATCTCTCCGGCCTCCCACCCTTTTCACTGTTTGCGTCTGGCCAAATACTTTACCATACTCCGTTTCATCTTACGTTGTACCGCAGCGAAGGCTAGAAGCGCGAGCTCATAGTGTTGGCAGCAACCCTTAATGCACGAGAACTTGTGCCGCCGAGATGTGCCCCAGAGCAAGGACCTCGCGCTTGTAGCCATTCCTGCGGTACATCATAAGGTGAAATAGAGCCATAGGGAGAATACATTCCACTTCGCTCATTTGAATTAGACAGAACGCCTACAGCGCCGAGTCCAGCCCTGACGGAGGGAAGGCCCG